ATATACATATATATTATATATTATTATATATATATATATATATATATAATTATATATATATATATATATAGTGAACCCTCGCTATAACGCGGTTCACCTTTCACGTTCTTGCTGCTTCACGGATTTGCATTGTGCATTGTGTTCTGCATTCTGATTGGCTAGACAGTCTCTCCGCTTCTTCTCTACCTGTGTGTCAATAACGTTACAGTTTAATTTGCACATGTACGTAAAACGGCTTGCCAAATTTGTTTGCAAATTGTCTATAAAACCCATGAAGCCTTCATTTCGTATTGATGACTAAAATTATTATTTCACGGGTACGTAGTTATTTTGTAAAAAAAAAAACGTTTATACAGTACTTTTATTTCCTAAACAAATGCTTGGGCCTGTAAAAAGGTTTTGTTTTTCGGTTTCAAATTCATTGTAATTTCATTGTGTATAATAATTGTAAAAAAAAATAAGGTTACTTCGAATTTTCGCTTATCAAGGGTTCTTTTTGGAACGTAACCCCCGCGAAAAACGAGGGTTCACTGTATATATCTGAATATCTATACGATATAGATATAGTAATATATAATAAATATATAATATATATATATATATATATATAATAAATATATGTAATGTGTGTGTGGTTTGTGTGACATGTGTGCATGTGTGTTGTGTGTGTGTTGTGGTGAAAATATACATGTTTTTTTATGATAATATTGTGTATATATAACTATATATATAAACGTAAATATCGTATTAGTATGATTCTACATCGTTGTATCGTGGTTATCTATATCTATTTATATCTATCTATCTATATGTATCTGTCCATTTGTATGTATAGGCATGCATGTAAGTATATATGTATGTATTCATGTACGTATGTACTTATGCTCGTGTATCTATTCTGATTGTCCAAAGACAAGCCTGCGACTTCCTTACAGCTTAAGAAGGATCTTCATGACTCAGTCGATCTGTCATTAAATGACTGTTCCCTTTTCAAACAAACAGATCTCAAAATTGTCTCCAACGAAGAACCTTTCCGGCGCACAGATCGACTTAGATATAATTTCAGTGACGAGATTACGCAAAGCCAATACGACTTCGCCGCCCGACTTCGCCGCCCGACCCTCACTTAGACCCTACCTCCCTTTGTCCGCCCGACCCTCCTCCCTTCCCGCCCAACCCTCACTCCCTTCGCGTCCCCGACCTCCTCCTTCGATTCGCCCGACCCTCTCCTTCGCCGCCCGAACCCTCCTCCCTTCCCGCCCTACCCTCCCTCCCTTCGCCGCCCAACCTCCTCCCATTCGCCGCCCGACCATCCTCCTTCGCCCCGCCCCGCCTCCCCACTTTCGCCGCCCGACCTCCTTCCTTCGCCCGCCCCAACCCTGCCCCCCTATCCCGCCTCCGACCCTCCTCCCTTCGCCGCCCGACCCTCCTCCCTTCGCCGCCCTCCCTCCCTTGCGCCGCGCCGCCCGACTCCTCCCTTCGCCGCCCGACCCTCCTCCCTTCGCCGCCCGACCCTCCTCCCTTCGCCGCCCAACCCTTCCTTCCTCCTTCGCCGCCCGACTCCCCCTTCCGCCGGCCCTTCCCGCCCCCGACCCTCCTCCCTTCGCCGCCCGACCTCCTCCCTTCGGCCGCCCGACCCCTCCTCCCTTCGCCGCCCCCCTCCTCCCGTTCGCGCCCGACCCTCCTCCCTTCGCCGCCCGACCCTCCCTCCACTTCTGCCGCCCAAACCTCTCCTTCGCCGCCCTTCGTTCGCCCAACCCCTCCTCCCTTTGCCGCCCCGGACCCCTCCTCCCCTCTCGCCGCCCGCACCTCCCCCCCTTCGCCGCCGACCTCCTCCCCTTTCGCCGACCCGAACCCATCCTTCTCCTCTCGCCCCCCAACCCTCCTCCACTTTTCCCGGCCGCCCGACCCTCCTCCCCTTCCGACCGCACACCGACCCTCCTCCGCTTCGCGTACCGCCCACCTTCCTCCCTTTAGTATCCCCGCCCCTTCGTCGCCCAACCCTCCTTCCCTAATTCGACCGCCCGACCCTCCTCCCCTTCCGCCGCCGCCGACCTCGCTCCCTTCGCCCGCGCCCGACCCTACCTCCCTTCGCCGCCCATTCCACCGCCCAACCTCCTCCCTTCGGCCGCCCCGGACCCTTCACTCCTTTCGCCACGCCCGACCCTCCTTCCCTTTCGGCCGCCCAACCCTTTCCTCCCTTCGCGCACCGACCCTCCATCCCTTACGCCGAACCCAACCGCTCCTCCCTTCGCCGCCCAACCCTCCCTCCCTTTTCGCCGCCCATATCACCGCCCAACCCTCCTCCCATTCGCCGCCCGAACCCTCCTCCACTTCGCACGCCCGACCCGTTCCTCCCTTCGCGCCCGGGACCCTCCTCCCTTCGCCGCCCCTTTCGCCGCCCGACCCCCTCCTTTCGCCGCCCAACCCTCCTCCTTCGCCGCCAACCCCTCCCTCCTTCGCCGCCCCAACCCTCCTCCCTTCGCGCCGACCCTCCTCCCGTCCGCCGCCCGACCCTCCTCCCTTCGCCGTGACCTCCCGACCCTCCTCCCTTCGCCGCCCCTTCGCCGCCCGCCCTTCCTCCCTCGCCGCCCGCCCTCCTTCCGATTCAAGCGCCCCGCCCTACCCTGTTAAACTCGCCTTCGTCGCCGACCCTCCTCCCTTCGCGCCATTCCAACCCTCCTACCCCCTCCCCTCCCCGCCCGGACCCTCCTCCCTTTCGCCGACCCGACCCTCCTCCCTTCCCTTCTCGCCCGACCCAACCCTCGCCGCCCAACACCTCTCTCCTTCTCCGCCCAAAACCCTCCTCCTTCGCCGCCCATTCACCGGACCCAACCCTCCGAACCTTCCCTTCGGCCGCCCGACCCTCCTTCCCTTCGACCGCCCATCTCCTTCGGCCCCAAACCTCCTTCCCTTCCGCCGGATTACCACCCCTCCCTTCGCCGCCCGACCCTCCTCCCTTTCATCCGCCGCCCGACCCTCCCTCCCTTCGCCGCCCGACCACTCCTCCACTTCGCCGCCCAAACCCCCCCTCCTCCCCATTCGACCGCCTCGACTCGCCTTCAACCTTCGCCGCCCGACCCTCCTTCCGCCTTCCCGACCGCCCCGACTCCTTCCCTTTCGCCCCCTTCGCCGCCCGACCCTCCTCCCTTCGCCGCCCATTCACCGCCCAACCCTCCTCCCTTCGCCACCCGACCCTCCTCCCTTCGCCGCCCACTCTTCCCTCGGCGATACCGACTTCCGGCGTTCGGCTTTCACTCTCCACTCTCACTTTCGAAGTCTATTAGCCCTGACCTCTGCTTCGTCGCTCAGCCTTGCGTAAGAGCGAGTCCTCACGACACTTTGTTTACTCTTGTAACATGTGCGCAGGTGAGGCTCGGCGCAGGCAGGTGAATGAGGAATTTCCGTTGACAGTAACAAGCACGGAAGTCAAATCGGTAGTTAGTGTGGCAGTTTTAAATGTACCTGTGATTATGATTTTTCGTGATGCAATGCTATTGTTGTGGCAACAGTATATTTAACATGAATAACGGTGACGAAAGAATATCATTGACTATTGCGTTGCTAGCAATGAAAGTAATATGGACAGTAATAGCATCATTGATGATGAAAATAATGAGGATGTTAATAATTGCAGCAGTTTGATAGTAGTAGTACTAGTAGTAGCAGCAATAATAGTAATAATGATAATAATAACAATAATAATATTATTAATAATAGTAATGACGAAAATAATAATCCTAATAACAATAATAACATCAATAATGATGATGATGATAATAATAATAATAATAATAATAATGCTCATGATGATGATGTAATAACGATAATAAATAATGGTAGTAAAAATAATAGTAATGATAAAAATATTGATGATAATATAATATTAAATAATGATAATAATGGTAATAACAAAAATAATAAATCAAATAAAAAATTTTTAACATTCATAACAGTAGTCACCATCATAATGCTACTACTAACAGACAGAAATAACAAAAAACAATGATAATAACTATAATAAAGCAAAGGAGTTATGATGCTAAACATTAAATCCATTGTCATTGGGTTAAAGATATAAAACCTATGAAGTTTCTCCCTAAGGGTTATGTTGGGCGCATATCCTTGTGTTACTAACCTGAAGGCCTCGCGATGGAGACCAGCTGTGTAATTTTCCAACCGCCAGTTGAGGCAATTACAGAAGGCTCGCCGTTTTTTTTTTTTTTCTTTCTTCTCCATCTTTCTCGTTCTCGTTCTCTTTTTTCTTTCTCATTCTTCCTCTCGCACACACACACACACACACACACACACACACACACACACACACACACACACACACACACACACACACACACACACACAACACACAAACAAACAAACAAAAAATCATACACACACTTATATACTACATATACATATTATTCATTTATTCACACACACACACACACACACACACACACACACACACACACACACACACACACACACACACACACACACACACACACACACACATACACACACACACATATATATATATATATATATATATATATATATATATATATATATATATATATATATGCAGCATATACATGCACACATACTGAGTCTGATATTGACATCACCTTTCACATCCATATCAGAGCTGCAGTAGTGTGTAATGACGGGGAATTTTCCTCAAGTGGTAATCACATTTTTTCTTTACTTTACTGTTAATATCTAATTACATATTAAATGCTTTGGTATTACAAGCAAATCAAGTGTAAATCAGTGTGTAACATGAAGCTGTTGCACACTGAACGAATGAAACTGAGCGGTAAGCATTTAAGGGGAAGACCTTTTCGTAAACTGACAAAATTGACTGGAAAAAAACAGCGAGATGATAATCCCACCAAAACAACCATTAGAAAATACTATGAAATACCAATTTAGAAAAGCAATGAATATAGTGAAGTTAAAAGGCAAAAGACGAGTCCCTTTTCGAACACACAACCGACCTGGCAAGTTGATGAGTGGACAGCAGTTGGCCAGCTTCCTCCTGCAGCAGACAGCCGGTGAGGGGAGGTTGAACCAGTGGAACAGCACAGGAGAAGCCATTGCCCCTTGAAGCAGGAGCGTTCCCACGAGCAAGGTCAGCGTGTACGCCATCTTCCCCTGAAACGAACGGAGAGTGAAAGGAAGGCTCACGGCGCCCGGGGGATGGCTGCGTCGTGGGTGCTACAGGGGAGGGAGGGGGAGGGGGAGGGGGCGTGTGTGTGTGGGAGAGAGTGAAAGAGAGGGGGGGGAGGAAGACAGAGAGAGCGAAGGGGGGGGGGGAGAAGAAGAGAGAGCGAGAAGAAGAGAGAGAAGAAGGGGAGTGGAAGAGAGAGGGGGAGGAAGAAAGAGAGTGAAAGCGAGGGGGGGGGGAGGAAGACAGAGAGAGAGGGGAAGGGAAGAAAGAGAGAGAGAGAGGGGGAGGAAAGAAAAAGAGAGAGAGGGGGAGGAAGAAAGAGAAGAGAGAGGGAAGGAGAAGAGAGAGAGAAGGGGAGGGGAAGAAGAGAGAGAGGTGGGAGGAAGAAAGAGAGAGATAGGGGGGAGGAGAAAGAGAGAGAGGGGGGAGGAAGAAAGGGGAGAGGGGGAGAGGAGAAGAGAAGAGAGGGGAGGGAAGGAGATAGATAGAGAGAAGGGGGAGGAGAAAAGAGAGATATGGGGAGGAGAGAGAGAGATACGGGGGAAGGAGAAAGAGAGAGAGAGAAGGGGGAAAGAGAAAGAGAGTGGGGGAAAGGAGAAAGAGAGACAGAACGGGGAAGTAGAAAGATATAGGGGGGGGCGAGAAAGATAGAGTGGGGGGAGGAGAAAGATAGAGAGAGGGGGGAGAGAAAGAGAGAGAGTGAGAGAGGGGGGGGTAGAGAAGGCAGGGAGGAGGGAGGCAGAGATAGAGAGAGAGAGAGAGAGAGAGAGAGAGAGAGAGAGAGAGAGAGAGAGAGAGAGAGAGAGAGAGAGAGAGAGAGAGAGAGAGAGAGAGAGAGTGAGGGAGAAAGAGAAGGCGGGGAATGTGAAAGAGAAGGAAGGAGGGAGACAGACAGACAGACAGATAGATAGAGAGAGAGAAGAGCTTACCCATCGTAAGTGATTTGCACATTGCCTTCTGAAACGCAACGGAAGGAACGCAAAGTAACGTTGAATCGTTGTGAAACAGTTAACCTAACGAATGTACCAGTTGCGCGTCATAGCAGCAGTATAGTTGTAAAGTTGGCATAAAAAATGTGGCACTTTATGTAGTTGCTTATTCTTTTCTTTTTATCACCAGAAACGTTAAATTATTTATATCACTGATTGTTAAACTGTGCAATAAAATACTAAGAAGCATCAGAACACGAAACGGCTGCATATTAAGTGTTTTTCAAAAGACGCAACCCCGAGGTTTCCAGTTCCGCTCCCTTATTGCTACATGGTATCGGACGTTGATGCATATGATCGCACTGCTGAATGTTGCGTAACTGGCGGCGAGTAACAACAAGAGGCAGTCTTGCACGCACACACCAGGTTATGTTACCAAACACTTACCAAAAAAAAGAAGAAGAAAAAAACAGTTTTCATATTGGAGTCCGGATTGCGCAAGAAAACTGAATAATTTCCCGTGAACTCCTCGATTAGAGAGAAAGTGATAAGAATGTACAAATTATATACACACTTTGTAAACGAGTCACGAAAGAGGCGCAACGACTGGTAGAGTAGCGATGAGTAGACGAGCGAACGATCGGAAAAAAGCACTTCAAAGGAAGGAAGACTGCAGACGACGCACGTACTCACTTGCGTCTTTGGTGGCGGCCAAGACGGTACAGTGAGGGTCTGCCCGACTCGTCCTCTTATATGCTTTCTCTTCCCGCCGCTCCTTCGCCGCCCTCTCCCTCGCCGACAGTGCCCTCAGAGGGCCAGGCTCGCGCCCCCCGAATATTAGCTACGCCTTCTTGCTCAATGTGTAACAGATGGGGAAATAAACAAGGCTGCCATTTGTAAAATCACGATCATTGTCATTATCATTAATTATATTTCCCTTATTATCCTTATTATTATTATCATTATTGTTGTCACTATTTCTATTATTATTACTGTCATTGTTATCATTATTATTATCATTGTTGTTATTGATATTATCATTATTACTATTATTATTGCTCTGATCATTATTAATATTATTGTCATTGTTTTCATAATTATTGTCTATTATTATTATTGCTCTTATCTTTATTGTTATTATCATTATTAATACTATCATCATTATAATTATCATTGTTATCATTATTATTATTTTTATTATTTTAACCTAATTATGATAATTTATTATTATCTTTATCATTATCGTTATTATAGTAGTGATAGTAATATCATTATCATAATTATGATAATATTGTTATTATCGTTACTATTATTATTACTATTGCTATCATTATCAGTATTATTACAATTATCATATAGTTATTATCATTATTATTGTTATTGTTATTATTATCATTATTACCATTATTATTATTATTATTATTATTATTATTATTATTATTATTATTATTATTATTATTATTGTATTATTTTATTATTAATTATGATTATGATTATTATTATTATTATTATTATTATTATTATTATTATTATTATTATTATTATCATTATCATTATCATTATTACTATAATCATTATCCTCATTATCATTATTCATATTGTGGATGGAATCATGAGATTCTTTTTATTTTGTTGTGCGAATAGAGAGGCGAAGGCTCGTGAAGCCTCTTGTGTTTGAATCACGTGAGACTCCGACTACTGTTTACGAACCCTTGAAGCAGCTGACCTAAGAAAGTTAGAGACGAGTTATTGCTCTGGCACCTCTCCGTATTTTTTATTGTGATTTATATTCTCGTGAGTATTATGACAATGATTTTGTTTGATATTGGTGTTGACATATTAGTCTTTGATGAATATGTGATAATGGTTTTATGCTATGGTTGTTGTTGTTGTTGTTGTTGTTGTTGTTGCTGTTGCTGTTGCTGTGTTGTTGTTGTTGTTGTTGTTGTTGTTGTTGTTGTTGTTGTTGTTGTTGTTGTTGTTGTTGTTGTTGTTGTTGTTGTTGTTGTTTTTGCTGCTGCTGCTGTTGTTGTAGGAATCTGTGGATGTTCTACATATGGCCAATGTTGTAGCGGTTGGACGTCATTTCATATCCATTTGTTGCCGAGTTCTTTACCCTTTGGAGCCCAGATGTTACAATTACAGGTGTGTTGATATTATTTAATGGATGTGTTAAGGAATGTATTTCCAAGCGGCATTTAAATATGTTATTACTATTATTATTATTATTATTGTTATTATTATCATTATCTGTATTATTTTTGTAATTATCATTACCGTTATCTGAACTATTTTTATAATTATCATTATTATCATTATGATTATCATTTTTGTTATGACTTTTGTTTTTATTATTATCTTGATTATTATTAGTAGTAGTATTTATTTTCATTATTATTGCTATTATTAGTATCGGCATTTATTATAATTATCCTTCTTATCATCATTATTATTATCATTATCATTATCTTCATCTTCATCATTACCATCATAATCATTATCATTCTTATCATTAGTAGTTGTAGTAGTATGTTATCATTATGCTATTTCCTCTCGACAGATGAGTCACATACCGTCTTTATTGACACACTAACTCATCATCCAGGGGCGCTTGATACGTACTGTACATCCCGCGGCTATTCGACAAGTTGAATCAGCAATAGGAATATGATAATACCCAAGCGATAATGTTCAAAATTGCTTGAAATTGGGCGTGCACTCGTTATGGCGTAACGACAAGAACCCCCCCCCCCCCACCATGTTACTGTTCTTTCTGCTTTCCAGACTTGCAGACATGCATACAGACAGACGCTTTACATGCAATGACTCCCTTTGGCATTAAATCACAGTGATTGTCTCTCCCATTTTTTCTCGGCCATTACTCACCGTTGGGCGTAACTCACGGCCGTCCAGAACAAAGAAAAAGAAGTGGGTTACGCAATAACTGAACCTTATTTTCTTTAATGACGGTAAACATGTGTAACCACTTTTTTATCATAAAGGTTTCTATACTGAATTGAAGACTGGAGAGAAGGATGCCTCGTGAATGCAGCTGAGATTTAGCAAATGAATAAATAGTTGTATACTGTCAGAATATGCATGAATAAAGATTAAAACTATTAAGTACAAAATAAATCCTTGAGGGCATCCGGGGAGTGTTGCACACCCTGAATCATCTTAGTTAAGCCCCTGGGTGTGTTGCCCCAGCCTGTAAAGTTTATAGAAATGATAATTACATACTTTCACGCAACAACAAAAAAATGGTCAACGTGCTGTGGACTTTTTGCTACTTTTGCAGAAATGGCGTGGGCTTTTGTGATCCACATTATAAGATAACTGAATCATAGATTTCTTTGCATACGTAAGAGTATATTATCAATTTATATTGTCATGCATAAAATCATCATCATTATCAATATCCTTATTATCACTATTAGTAATAGTAATAATAGTAGAATGAATAACAACGTCCTGCACCGATATAACGAAACAAGTGCACCTTTTAAACGCCATATGCTGTCAGCCTATGTTACGAGTCGCCACTTCCTGTGGTTGTAAAAAGAAAGATGAACTGGAAAAAGATGATTACTATACTCTCTCTCTTTCTTTTTGTCAGTATTATCGTTATTATAATCCATATTATTGTTATTATTATCATTTATATTATTATTATTATTGTTATTACTATCATTGTTATGACCATTATCATTATTATCATTACTATTATTTTTACTGTTCTTTTTAGTAGTAATAATAATGATAATAATGATGATAATAACACTAATGATTATGATAATAACAATAATAATGGTGATAATAATATCAACAATAATGATGATTTTTTTTTTAAATAACAATAATGGTAATAATGATAAGAATAATAGTAGCAATAATACTAATCATTATGAATATTGATATCATCATTATTATCATTACTGTCATCATCATTACTATCATTATCACTATCGTTATTATTATCGCCGTTATCATCAATATCATGCCTATTATTATTATTATTATTATCATTATTATCATTATCATTAGTATCTTTATCATTATTTTAACTTCATTATGATCATTATTATCATTATCATCATTATTATCATTTCATCATTATCATTGTTGTTGCTATCTTTATAGTTATTATTATTGTTATTATTGTTGTTATTATTATTATCATTATCTTTGTTATAGTTATTAACATCATTATCATTATCATTATTATCATTATTATTATTATTGTTATTATTATTATTATGATTAATTTCATTACCATATTATTATTATTATTATTATTATTATTATTATTATTATTATTATTATTATTGTTATTGTTATTGTTATTGTTATTGTTATTGTTATTATTATTATTATTATTATTATTATTATTATTATTATTTATTACTATTATTATATTTTATTATTACTATTATCATTAATAATAATATTATTATTATTATTATTATTATTATTATTATTACTATTACTATTATTATTTGTTTTATCATTATCATCATCATTATTATTGTTATCACTACTATTATTATTAATAATAATATTATTATTACTATTATCATTATTACTATTATCATTATTATTATTATCAATTTCATTATTATCAGTATCACGATTACTATTATTACCATCATTATTATTCTTATCATTAACAGTATTATCATTCTCATTATCATTATCTTTACTTTTAATGTGAATATGAGTATTGTCATCATCATCATCATTACTATTATTATTATTATATCATTATTATTGTTGTTATTGTTGTAATTATTATTGTTATTATTATTATTATTATTATTATTATTATCATCATCATTATCATCATAATTATTACTACTATTACTATTGTTTTTGTTGATGTTCTTCTTTTTGTTATTACTGTCATTTCTAATATCATTATCATCATTATAATCATTATTACCATTCCTATTATCGTTATCATGTATAATCATGATGATGATCATAATCATTACTTTATTATTATGATCATTATCACTATTATTATTTTTATTATTATTATCCCTTTCACCATCATTACATTAGCCGTTATAACAAGCTGTGGACGTCAATCTTTCTTTCCTCGCATTTCGTAGTAACTTGTCCCAACTGTGGGGATTTGCCAATAGTGATAATTTAGTTCCATTTGTTACAATGGATATTCTTTGGTGTGGCATGCTGTCTGTTTATTCTCTTCTATATCGGCTCCTGAGTACAAGGAATGGCCGGGGTTAGCAGCCACTGGCAGCGCGCGGGATTGAACGCGGGTCAGCAAGATTGATAGACGAGAACGCTACCACTGCACAACACAACACAAATATAGTCAGTCTTGAGAGGAAAATAAAACGTGCGGAAAATAGAATATTAGTAAAAGTCAACAGAAATAAGATATTCAAAGCATTAATTATAAGTGAATGATTAAAATTGAGAAAAAAAATGGTTATTTAAAAGAGAAACATAACGAATCAGTGAGCCCTAGATATCAGGGTGAAGCATTTTATAACTGACACTGGACGCACCATAGGTTGATGCGCTGTTGCATAGGTATTACCGTTCTTATTGGTAATGGACTGTCATTATTATCAATATATATATATTATTTACTACTCCCCCTGTTTATTTACACACGCAATAACGTTCCCATGTTATTGTCAAAGTGCTATCACCTTATTCCGCAGTCTATATCATCGATGACATCTGC